TGGTTTAAATGCAAGATTAAATTCACATTCCAAATACCTTTTTGCAATAATTTTGTTTTGCTGGTTTCTCCAATTTTTAGGATTGTTTGTTGATGTATTATGTCTCTGAATAATGCATTTAGTTTCTGACTTATGACCTCGGTTTTTATGTATATCCTCTTTGTCTGTGTGCATGTATCTCCTTGGTTTTGCACCCCTCCTCCTCCCACCCTTCCCCAAGTAAGTGTGTTAATCTCATGAGAGCGGACATTAAATTGGTAGAGTAGGACCTGCCAAAGATGGGGTACATTGACGTTGTGGCAGGCTTATGCAATGTATGATCATATACTGTAACAAAATCCCCATTATTTTTGCCTAGATTAGTGGTTTATTTAAAAACTAATTTTAAAAAAACTAATAAAATCTGTGAAGTTTGAAGTTGCTGTTGATGATGGATGAGTGCCTCATGTCCCTAATCTGGTGTCCCTAAACTGAGGCAGAACCACCTAATATTAGTAGGATTTACTCCTAAGCGGCTTCTGACACTCTTTTAAATATTTTAGAAATTTATAAATTATTATAAATATTATTTAAACTGTTAATAGCTCCTGACTGATTCCTCTTGTGTAACTGTCACTAGTCTAATACTACCCTTACCTTTTTGTGTAATTTAACCCACTCCCTCTAGCATGTAAGCTCATTGAGCAGGCCCTCCACCCCTCTGTTCCTGTGTGTCCAACTTGTCTGGTTACAACTACATGTCTGTTCGTCCACCCATTGTAAAGCGCTGCGGAATTTGACGGCGCTCTATAAATATCATAATAATAATAATAATTTAAAAATTTTGGACATGCATTTTGCTGAATGTACATTCGTCCAAATTTCATGAAATTCAGACATTCAGATGCTTCCGAATGTCCGAAGTGCCGAAGTGCCGAAGCACCGAAGCGCAGAAGTGCCGAAGTGCTTCGGATTTCTGAAAAGTGGCAAAACAAGAGAGAGGGAGGGAAAATTACATGAATGATGACAGACATCTTGACCAATAAGCTAATTCCTTTTGTGCAATGTAATGCTTGCTTGCCCAATCCGGTTTCACTATTCCCTGTCCAATAAAATGAGCAAATTTTTGTGATTGATGTTAGAGGACAGCCGATTAATGGTGATTTTGTCACTGACACTTGGCCAATGAAGGCACACAGAGTCATTGAGGTGGGATAGTATATAAATCAGGCTGTCAGGGTGTTGGCTTGCATTCATGTGACGTAGACATGTGCAATTTGTTTTGTTCCAAATGTACATTCATCCGAATTTCATGCCATTCAGACATTCGGATGCTTATGAATGTCAGAAGTGCCGAAGTTCCGAAGCAGTTTTGAAGGGTTAACGTTTGGCAGTTCCGAAGTGCAAAACCGAACCTAATGCCATTGGTTCCGAATTACCGAAGCAGACAAATAACCGAACCGAATCTTTGGCCCATGCACATCCCTACTATTTTTGCTTAAAATTTGCAATTGTCCACGTGACTGACATATTGCACTCATTCTGTTTTCAATTTAAAAATTGTGTGCTTCTCTCGCACATGCTAATATTGTGACTTATATTTTTTAATGTTCTTTCACCCAACATAAATAAAGAATTTAAAAAAAAACATGCAATTGCCTTCACAATTCTCCACAATTGACAGTGTATCGAATAATCTCAAATGTGTACTTACAAACAATCAAACTTTGTTTGGTAAGAGAATGTTTGAAAAGAGTTTGAACAATAAAATGAATTAATGACTTAGATCAGATGTTAAATTAATGTGCTTTATTCGGCAGAATGACCTACTCAAAATATTTTGTAGTAATTGGATTCAGACTAATGATACCATTAGGAATGGTGTATTATATTATAAATCACCAAAGAAGGCTTTTGTTTGAAATCATTCATGTCGTTGGTAGTATTATATTTATTATGATTTTATGCAGATGGCTATATTGTGCCTTATTGTCCAAATTCGGAAAATTAATGAGCTGAACAATGAGTGGTACATACTGTATAATAATTGAACAATTGTATTGTGATGGCCACAATATGAACTCTATGTACCTCGCCCCCTGTCTGCTTGGGTTCACTGGGGGTTACAATATTTTGAGCAAATGTATAAAGATGCCTCAACAGGCTTCAGGCACGATATTAAAAAAAAAAGGGGGTATTGAAATTATACTCATTTATTCTCAGATTTTCAACTTGTGAATCTCGTAGGTGGAGATTTGTCAAGATAAAAGCAGGTGCTATTCTGGAATTAGATAAGGATTAAAAAGTCCCAGACACTAATAAAATGTCCCACAGCATTAAACACTTTGACCCAAAAATAAACTTGCTACGCATTATTAAATCCCTCTCTCATAGTGAGCAAATAACATTATACCAAGAATGATGGGAAATTATAGTGTCATAACCTATTTAAAAAATGGCTATCTTGAGCCTATATTTCACCTGCAACAGAACTGTTATATGGAACAATGAAGATAAAGTATGGCTTGATTTAAAGTCTATAGGATAAGATAGGAAGCAAACAGGAAAAATGGAAATTAAATAGGGCATACTGAAGAATGGCTGTGGGTGAAAAAGATGGGTAGAGTGGGCACAAGCCAAGAAAAGAAAAAAAAAACAGAAATAAAGTATTAAAGGGATACTCTAAGCACCATAACAACTTCAACAAACTTGAGTTGTTATTGTGCCAGGAGTCCCTGGCGCTGGCTCAGCATAAAGGATTAAACTGTTCTCAAATTGTTTAACCCCAAAGTATTTGGTCAAGCACCGAATCTCTTTGCCTCTCTGTCCTTCCGTTTTCTATAAATGTACATTTTATGAACGGGGATTTACTGATTGGCCCGTTTCTGCAAGATCCTTCTGGTTTAGAGATTTTTAGAAAAAGAAAGGGATTCAGTGCTGGAACAAAGATGTTAAACCATTCAAGAGCAGTTTAACCCCATAAGGTGAGCCAGCGCCAGGGACCTCCTGGCACCATAACAATTTAAATTTTAATTAGGTTGTTATGGTGTCTGGAGTTGTCCTTTTAACAGGAAAATAAGTTGATAAAGGATAATTAAAAGAACCAGTAAATGCACCCAGACCACATCATCTTATTCAAGTGGTCTGGGTCCAGTTGCCCTGTAGTTTTAACCCTGCGATGTAAAACATCGCCGTTTTGAGGAAATTTCTACGTTTACATTGCATGGTTAAACACGCCTTTCGGTAGTTGTCTAATATAGGCAATTCATGTGCAACAGCAGAGTGAAACTCAGCCACATTACTAAATGCAGCTCACACGAAAACATTGAATTTAATGCTTTCCTATGAGAAGCACTTGATTGGGCATATGCACTTAATTGGAAGAAGCAACACCAGTTGATAATGTCATAGGGAATGAGTGAGCAGCAGCAGCACCGAGGGAGGGATGTTAGCAAAACCTTTTTTTTTTTTTACTAATTTTCAATGTGCATGGCGCTATAATGTTATGAATACGGGTTTGTTTTCCTAAAGCTATCATGGTGCTTTAAGCATAACAAGAAACGTGCAGAATGAGAGCCAGCACAGTAGTTAGAGAGTGCGTTGGTGTGGGAACACGGAGGATATTTATCAAGGGTTCTGCTGGGATGAGACAGTTCTGGAGCTTTAAGAAAGAAGCAGGTTTTCTATCATCTTTCAAATAACTGACATCAAATAAATTACTTTTGAGAGCATGATACATTTTCCAGGTAATAGATTAAATGGGTTCTCAGTGTGAATAGAACATGGCAGAGAGGAAATGCAGTTATTAACTGAAGTAATATAATACTAATACATGCAAGAAGCTTGATTAACATTTTAGTCTTGTATCCTGTTTAAACTTGTCTGTCCCTTCATGTCCTGATCAATTTTGAGATTGTTTTACAATGTGTTTGTTCCTCCATAATTTAACTCATTGCCATCCATCATTTAATATACCCACATGTTTCGTATTGTTTTGTAAAATAAAGAAAGGGCTTTTATTATTTGGTGTAGGAAGACCACGGATAGGACTGCTCAGATGGAGTAAAAGCTGTGTTTTATTAGAGCTAGTTGAGCAACAATTGTATCACTATTTCAAACCTCTTTACAAGACTTTTCTCGAGATCTCTAAGAACTGTTACGTATCTTTCAGTACAATTATATTTCTGGCTTAAGATATTCCCCTGGGTGCATTGTACCATCAGAGATGTGGTGCAAGGCTACTATAAATATATACATACCTCCTAACTGTGCTGATTATGGAAGGATGGTCACTATTTTAAGATAATGTCCTGCCAACTCAACTTCGTTTCCTGGTGTGCCTAAAAACCGACACCAGGGAACAAAGTTGAGGTGGCAGGACATTACTGTACCCAAATAGCATAGTGTTATTGCTTCTTTAAAAGTGCTTTCACTAAGCTCAGGTAAATCTGAAATTTAGTGTATGAATGGCAGCCACCATAGCGTGTACTTATATATATCCAACAATATAAAGAGTTAGCTGCAAGGCCTTCAGTAAAAACATCCAATCTCTATTATAGAAAAAGGTAATCAGTCCTCATTTGGGGCTTTCATAAGACACACAGAATAACTGCCATATAAAAAAAAAAGAAAAAAAAAGAAAGAAAGTTAAAAGAATAAAACAGTAGGGCTGCACTCACCTAAACAAGTACACATTACAGGGGTTCTGCTGGGACCAGTCAACACAACATACAGAATCGAGCGCACTCACTTAATTATATGGTAGCTTGAAAACCTATGCAATTGAAAACACCTGATTGCAAGCAATATATATAGGCAGAGTGAGCAGTCGCATGTCAGCGGTGCTCCGTACACTAAACGTCAAAAACAAAAAGAAAACACGAGACACGGCACATATCGACACCCGCAAGTGTTCTCAACCCATCCAAAATCATGGGAAAGAAGATTAAAAGCTAAAAACCTACCCGGGAGATGGTAGCAGGAAGATTGTGCATCTCTTTCAAGCGAGGCCTACCTCTAAGATGGCGGCCGCAACAGACTGTCACGGCTCATCCTCAGAGGAGGATCCTCTGGACGCCCCTGACGCCATACCAGAGGCCAGGGACCCGTTCGTGACAGCACCCATGGGTGACCTGGGAGCTCCAGCCACAAAAGGGGACATCGTGAACCTTCTGAAAAATGTGCGCTGCCTGTTTCACGCTGATATGGCAATCCTGCGAGAAGACGTGACGGCGGTAACTAACCGGGAAGAGTCACTGAAGAAGACCTATACACAGTCATTCAATGCCAAACTGACACAAGCACACAGATCCAGAAACTTGAGGCCTCACACAAGACACTGCAAGAAAGGCTGGACATGCTAGACGACGCACGGTGTCGAAATAATATAAAAATACGGGGCATAGCAGAAACAATTGACGACAAAGAACTCCCCCACTTCCTCCGAAGGCTACTCTCAGCGATCTTGCATCCCAGGCAAGCAAAAGATACCCCTCTAGAGGGCTCACACAGGCTCCCAAAATCCACGAGGGCCCCAGCCGCAGCGTCCCGTGACGTTCTAATTCGATTCCAATCATTCCGTGACAAGATTGCGGTTGTAGAAGCACTCAAGACACAGAGCCCCTTCACATTCGAAGAGATGCAGCTCACCGTTCTTCAGGATCTATGCAAAGCCACACTGGACTGGAGGCGCTCAGTCCGTCGGGTGACCCTGACCCTCCAAGAAGCCAGCATCAGGTACAGATGGGGGCTGACCCACTCCCTTCCAACTCACCTCACCCGATGACTCCGGTGCCTTCCTGAACAGCCTGGGGCTCGTGCAGACCACCCATCCCAGCACCCACGCTGGAAGCTTGTGGGACATTACGAACATTGTCCCTTTTGTGCCCAGTTCTGCAGAAGGCACAGTTTGAGACTGTCCACATACCCTCTAAAGGAGAGAACTCCTAGCACTAACTAGTTCAGTATGTTATGCTCCTTGTTGATGCCCTCCCCAATACTAATCCTACTGTTTTAGCCCCTCAAATAGACAAACAGTGCAAAGCGGTTCTCTATACCATAGGGCCCGAGCACTCCCCACACTTCCCCATCCCCCCCCAGGACCCAATGGATATTGGGTGCTATTAACGCCAACTTAACAGCCCAGGCCGAAACGACCACTACCTCCCATGTACATATCACTCCAATGCACGACCTACTAAGCCCACTCGCATATTATTTATTAAGCCTTTATTTTTTACTTCATCGCATTTTTCCCTCATCTCTCTACCAGAGAAACGCCTTAAATGCCCTGCCAGGCTAGACCACAGCAGACCTCAAAAACTATCCATATACCACGAGTGTTTAATGTCCAGCGGCCACAGCACCAGTAGACTGGGCAGCACGGAAGGCATGGCCTGCGCGTAGGGTAGATACCCACCTAAGACCTAGTCATAGCCCTACCCGCTAATGACCACGTTAAAATATATTTATACATTATTCCTACTACAGAGCAGCACCCATGACATAAAGACCACTTTAAAATATATTTATACATTATTCTTACTACAGAGTAGCACCCATGACGTAATGACCCATTATCGCTATGCCGGTAATTTGCCCTTTCTAACATCAGTGAATTTAGCACTGACTGTCAATCCTGCTTCCCCTTAAACACCAAATAACGCAAATTTTTCTATTTAATGCCATTATAATGTTACTAAATGTTTGTAATCTATCTACAACAGCTGTTGTGGCAGTGCACATATGGATGTTTAATCTTGCACAAAAATAAAGAATTAAAAAAAATATATATAGGCAATATAATAGGGATCCCTGTCCCTGAGGAAATTTGGAAATTTATATCAAAAATCGATGAACCATAGAGGCAGGTCTTTCATTTTGTAATGAATCATTTTTAATTCTATATATCCTCAACTTATCTGTAGCAGTTGCACCGCGTCTTGTTGTTCTGTACATTTCCATGGATCTATGGGGTGACATCACACAAATGAATGTGTCTGCTGTATAGAATGTATTATAGCAAGTGATAATGAAGCTTTATACATATAGACACATTATGGTCTATGCTATTTTGTATTCCTGTTGCTCTTTTATGTTGTGCTGATAAATAGAACCAAAACATAATGGTAGGTCTTTGTGAATTCCTTCATTGTGAGAGCATTTCATTGTCGTAAAAGAGATATAGTACAGATATAATGTCCTGTAATCTGCATTTTGTTTTCTAGATTATAGATATAATTTTGTCTTCCTTTTGTAAATGTATATGGAATTTGGAGAATTTATAGAGGAATTAAGACATTCCCTACAGAGATCTATTGTTCGTTCTGTAAATCTATTTTTGTTAGAGTGATTTAGGTTTTTATGTTCAATCTTTTTTTTAATAACATACGGTCTCAAATGTCTTTCTTTTTTATTTTAGTACAGAGCCCATGTAATAGCTAAGTAACTTTCCAGAAAGTGGGTAGCAGAAACTTTTGGAAGTAAAGTGTTTAAGTGTATATTTAAATGTAAATACTATAATGCAAAATAGTTTTCCGTTTTCATTAAAATTCTTTACTCGGCTTTTAATCTTTTCTATAATCTTTAAAATACCAAATTCTAACATTTTAATTTAAACGTAACTTTTAGGTTTTTTTTCAGTTGCTGAGGATTAATTGGCAATCACGTTTTATCTTTTTTATATTTTTATTTAATTTGCATACATTTTAGATAGAAAGGGGATAAACTCTGTTTAGTTATTGCTCATTAAAATTAACGATTGCCACATTATCATAATACTAAATGAGAAACCGTGGTTTCCATTTATAATGCCAGTGGTAATTCTAGACCAAAGTATCAGGATGGAATATCTGGGTTTATAGCTACCCATAAAGGCATTTTAAAGAACCTGACATTAATGCAACAGAAAATGTAAAGCATTTTTATTTTGAACTTTGAATATTCTGACAGCATATCACATGTAGAACAAATTCCATGTTACTTTAAAAAAAAAAAATGGCAGAAAATGAAACCATTTATTTCTACAGTCTTGGAAGTACATCATAACCTAAAAGTAGAAAACTTTATAAATTGAAGCAACTAAAAAAAATGTGCAAAAATGTGTTTTGTCCTTAAACTAATTGATTAGTTCAAGTCCAAATCCTTTTAAACCTCACCCAAACTAATCGATATGTCTAGAAAATAAATGGAAGAATTGATTGGCTTTGGTGTTGATTAAAATGCATTTGATTCAGACAAATGAATTAGTTTATGGACAAAATTAATGTTTGAACATCTCTAGAATGAACTCATCGTAACAAGTAAAGTGATCACTATTAATAAAATGTTATCAGTAAGGAGAACCATCAGTGATTACAATATTGTACATACGCTGAAAGAAGACGTTTTCCATTCAGTTGCATATGGTGAATTGCAGGGGCCCCTAGTACAGATACAACCCTTTGCCCTGATATCCAAGGGTCGACTCTATAGAATTGTGGGGATATTTATGGGGTGATAAAGATTAAAATTATATTTTCATAAAAATTATCAAAACTTAATTTAATAATTTTTATTATATCAAAATTGATAGAATTACCCACTATTTTAATTCTCTTAGATCCTAGAGAACGTAATAATTTAGAGGGTTTTATTCCACACAATGATCACAATTTGATTATAATAATATAATTTTAGCCTATTCTCGTGCAATTTTCAATTAAAATAATGTTCATACCAGATCAACCATTAATCATTTCCTGGAACCATCCAATAAAAACAAAATCTACCAGAATTTAACTCTACATAAGATACACTATCTTATTTCAAAGCAAATCAATACATCTGGATAAATGTGGCATGCTAACCTGTTGGTAAATATTACCATTAATATATAATTATTGTTTATTCCACCTGCAGTAATGGAATTTTATAACCATATATTTTTTATTTAACTAAGATTTCTAATTATGAAATCTAGCCAATTTATCCATGCATATATTCCTGCTATTAGTAAAATTGTAATTAATTTAAATTAATTAAATAAAACCTGTATAATTACCGGTTATGTAGATGTTCTCATCAGATGATTAGATAGTCCCAGGAATTATGATTGTATGGAGGTGTATAGGATTCTATGTAATAGAAAAGTGGTGTTGGTTAGAAAGTAATAGTAAAATTATAAGTGTCAAGGAAGTGTTTCTTGAGTTGTGTCCAAGAGAGTTTGAAAGTTGAGTGTTCAGGGTGTCCTGAATCTCTCTGAATGTGCCAATCTTAATCTGAATCTAATTGAATCTCTTTCCTTTGTCCTTACTTTTAAAGGGCCAGACTCTCTGTACGTCAGTAATTGATCAGACCTATAGGGCCCTGAAGGTCTGGCTAACCAACAGACCATAATCTAGATTTTGGTCGGTAGATGGCGCCCTTACATCACCGAAATTTTGTGTCCTGAAAAGGGTTAACTAATTTTGATGACGATTTTGACATAATTTTGGCTTATCTAAATGGCCAATGTAACTCAAATTTGCTGTCAGTTCAAAGCGTTTACCCCAGACACAGCGTTGTCGATTCCTATCATAATTTCTAAAATTGACACCTCCTAACCTTAATTTCACCATATTTCTTACAATGGGACCTTATAAGATTTAGAAAGTAAAATTAATTACTAATACTTTTCTGTCACTGTTATCTGGCTTTCTTGTGGAGCTAAGAGACATTATTTTTATATTCCACTTACTTTTATTAAATAATATGATATTTCTTCATGGATATTTATCCATGAATGGCCTATATTATTAACATAAAAGTAATTATATGTAATTAATATAATAGTAAAATAAGTATATAGTGGTTAGATGGATTTAGTAATCCAACCCCCATGCTGCTGGGACTGCATTGCCTTATCACTCGTCTTGTTTACATAATGCATTCCTTAGCTCAGGCTGATGGCTAGAGTTACTGAAAGCAAGAAGAAATTATGTGTCTTTGTTAGCCTGAAGATAACAAAATGGAGTCCACTTTGTTCTGGGTGTGACTGGCAGTAGACACTTTTAATTTCTATTTTAGCACAAAATGTCTGGCAATATAAATATTCTGACAGAATCCTCTCTGTATGGACACTATATGAACCTATAACACTTTATCTAAATGTAGTTGTCTGAATGCCATGTCCTCCTCGTTTTAACCCTGAAACAATTGCTGTTCTGCAGGGTTTTCATTGCATTGTTTAAATACCTTTAATGGGTGTCATACTGACAAGCATTAGTGATGCTTCCACAGAAATAACCAAGTAACTCTATTTCTACCAGATGGTTTCATACAAACCATCTGATTGGTTCAGTGTAGTGTTTTGCTGCACAGGCGCACTAGACGCCCAATGCTTTAC